ATTACGTATAATATCTCTAAAAAACAATTTTTGTCTATATACATTAATTAATTATTATTGATTTAATCTTTAAATTTTAATTTGAAACAACTCAATTCCTATAATTTTTTAAATTTAAAACCGGTTAGTTCAAAGCAACTTAATTCCTGTAATTCGTTAATTCAACAAATTAATCAAACTATTCTGAGTCAAATTAAGTTTAAAGACTTGATTAATACTTTTTTTAAAAAAATCAAAGACTATACGTTATATTTTTCTAGTATATCTCTCAATTATATACAATAATGTCTGTGTTAACAGCTGTCAAATTCAAAATACCTACAATAAAAAATAAATTCAAATGATAAGCAAATACAATGTTGCCCCAAAGAAATAATATTTTCATTAAATTTTCTTATACAATTGTTCTTGCAAAACAACTGACAAGTGGGTGGGCTGTTGTTGACAACAATTGATTCTTTATAGCAATAGATTCATTCTTCCCACAACCTTTTTGCACCAGTAGAGCCCACCCTAGTCTTTTATTATTATCGTTTTACATTTAACTAAGTTTTACTTACCTCTATTACTGCTTATAACCAATAATAATTAGTTTTGGAGAAAAAATAAGTTTAATGATGACAAATTTTAAAATATTTCTTTTAAAATTGTTTGATTTTAGCAGCAATATGTATAGCATCTGACACTATATCTAGTTAAATTGATAGAATTCTCCAACATGATTATTTATTTATTCACCGAACGTAACATGAAGCTTTAATTATAAGAGCACCAAAAATCTTTCACTTAACCTAACTGTAGTTGGCTTTTTTAAAAAAATTTAATTTTTTATGATGACTATTATGGAGTCTATATAATTAATTTCGGTCACCCTCTTTCTATTATATGAATAGTACGGTCTTTTAGCTAGTGTTTTATATTTTTCTATTAACTAATTATTTGTTATAGCATACATCATTAAAAAAAAAAAGATGCGAACATATGATTTCCTTGAATGAGAAATTTTACTTAAAAAGAAGACATGCATTCCTTAGTGTACTAATAAGCGTCGTACGTATCACACGTATCAATCTGTTAATTTTAACATATTAATATCACGTCCTTGTCTTGTATAAAAAGATCTTAACATACATGTTACATATCATTACTGAGCGTATCATTAATTAGCCAGTCAGAAAAAACCAAGATTCTTATTCGATTAAGAGATCGATCGAAAAAAAAAAATACAAAGAAAGATACATATCATTACACCTTTTTTTTTAACCTTATATTAAAATATGCATATTACAATTTACACTAGCTAATTTTTAATTTATTTTGGAAAATTCACCTCATAACAAATTGTTGAATGGAATTGCAAGATTGACTTTGATACTCGTGTATGCATATTAAAGACAAACATTGCATGCATGGCTTGTTAATTTAAGTGGATGTGAAACCTAGAAAAATTAATGAATCAAAATTAACAAGTCAAAACCAAACATATTATATAAAAAATCTATATATTAGACTCGATCGTATCGCTTCATCGCTCTCCATTTCTAGCGTATAAAATCTCAGACGCGAGACAATTCACAATTTTTCAGCAAGGGTCGTACACATGCAAATCACATTAGCCCATTTTTTCTGTTGTGTTCACTCCAAACATGTAGAAATTAATTAGGAAAAAGAAAAATGAATAAATGCTTGTTTGTTTGTTTGTTTTTACCAGTTAATAGATAAATGCTTGTTTGAAGTCAAAGTGAATAAATATAGATTATATAAAGTAATGGGCCCACCACATGATTTTTTTTTTTTTTTTTTTGTGGTAACGAATTAATCAATTAATGAATAATCATCTCTGAGCATCAGGCCAGCCGCAACTAAACCGACCCGACCCGACACCCGATAACTCACTAACCGACCAAATAATCAAAAGTAGAGTTGGAATTTTTGGAGATCTTGGTCAAACCACTCGCCAAACATGCCTTTTCCCTCTCTCCTCTCTCTTCCACACTTGATTTATAACTCTACTGCCTCTTGGCTTGCCTGCAAAATCCCAATCTCCCCCTCCCCCAAATGGCTTTGCCGTCACCTCCGACCTTAAATCGCATTACACTCAAAAAGAGCTTGAAAAACCTTCCAAAGTCCCATTCTTTTGGACGAGTTTTACTGCCCAACAGATCCAAAACCCAGATTTCTCCTTCTGAGCGCTCAATTCAACTAGCTTCTTCTGATACAATAATGCCCATAGTTCAAACTGGTACTAATTATACTACTCTTTCCACGCCTTCTGGTTTGCCCTCTGATACAGATCGCGCTACTAACACTTTTACTTTATCTGACTTCTGGAGAGAAGTTCAAGGGTGCAACAACTGGGAGCACCTCCTAGATCCTTTGCACCCTCTTCTTCGCCGGGAAATTATCCGATACGGAGAGTTCGTCACGGCGTGTTACAAGGCCTTCGATCTCGACCCTGCCTCGAAACGCTACTTAAACTGTAAGTATGGCAAGAAACGGATGTTAAATGAGGTAGGAATGGGAGATTGTGGTTATGAAGTCGTCAAGTACATCTACGCCACTCCTGACATCGCTATCCAGAATTTCTCCTCTTGCGGACGTTGGATCGGCTTCGTCGCCGTGTCATCGGATGAGGCCACGCGGCGACTCGGCCGGCGCGACATCGTCATAACTTTCCGGGGAACCATCACGGGCCAAGAATGGGTCGCCAACTTCATGAGCTCGCTGATTCCGGCTCAGCTCGACCCGCATAATCCACGTCCCGACGTGAAGGTAGAGTCTGGGTTTCTCTCTCTCTATACCTCCGACGAAGGGTCGACCTCGAAATTCGGCATTACGAGTTGCCGGGAACAGCTACTGTCAGAGATTTCAAGGCTCCTCAAAAAATACGAAGGCGAGAACATTAGCCTGACGGTGGCGGGTCACAGCATGGGGAGTGCATTGGCTCTCTTACTCGCCTACGACGTGGCAGAGCTCGGACTGAACAAACTAGGTAACGCTGTTAGCGGACAAAAAACTGAAATACCTGTCACTGTTTTCTCGTTCGGCGGGCCGCGAGTCGGAAACCTAGGTTTCAAAAATCGGTGCGAAGAGCTGGGTGTCAAAGTGCTGAGAATCGCGAACGTGAACGACCCCATCACGAAGCTGCCAGGGGTCGTCTTCAACGACGAGAATTTTAGGGTTTCAAGTTTGGGATTTTCGTGCTACGCCCATGTCGGAGTTGAGCTATTACTGGATTTTTTCAGCGTCCAGAACCCTTCCTGTGTTCACGACCTGCAGAGCTACATAGGCTGCCTCCTGAAATACTCCAACTCGGATAACAAAGAAGGGTTTGGTTTTCAGATTCATGTGGATGAAGTGATGAGTAATTTGATGGAGAAGGGAAGAGAGTTGCTCTTGAGCTCTCATCAGAACATCAACGTGTTGCCGGGGTTGCTCTCCGATGCCGGAAACCACCACGGTATTCTGGGATGGATCTCGAGAGATTTGATGAGTTCTTTGGGCAATGAACTGCTCTTTGGCCTGGTTCTTTTGTTATTGTAGTTAGCACTAGCTAGTACATAATTATGTTAATTAGAAAAGGCTACACAGACTAATTAAGTCATTGTAAATTGAAGATATCGGGGAGGGGAGCAACTAAAAATACATATATGTATAAATCCTTTTGAAAGATGGGTATTTTTGTGTTATATATATATATATAGATCATTCATGTTTATAATCATGAAATTTATTAATTCATCAAATGTGAAGGTGATGGTATTAATATGTGCGCAAAATATGTCCATGTATATGCATATATCATTGCAGTTGCCTTGCCACGCAGCTAGTTATTACTCACTACAGCACCTGAAGAAGAAGAACGGATCATAGCTAGCTAGTACTCCAGTTCGTGGCAAGCAATTGCAATAGTTTTCATGTTTGACACGTGAACTTGGGCGGTTCAAAGTCAGATGTTTTTTCTGTTGCTCATAAATTGTTGGAGATCATCCAGCTATTTCTATGGACTAGCTTGTTCCTTCTCTGAATTGAATTTCATGTTACTCTGTTCACATGGCCCAGGATATTATACGAGAAAGCATTTTACTTTTGCGATGCTCATTGCTCAATATAACGCAGCGATCCAAATCTGCAGAAAGCGTATCATTATGAGCGAGCTTTTAGCACGCTTTAGTTAGTTAGCTTTCAGAGATTAGCGTATAATGTCAATATAATGTCTATAAAAACGAGAGTTGAGTATAATTATATATTGAAACGAGCGTGCGCGCACGAGGTCTAAATTATAGTGATCATAGTTCATTGTGAGCCTTCAAAAACAGTTTTTGAAATTTTTCGTGCGAAGCTGCTATCATCATTATATATTATATCTTCAAATCGGTCAGATTAATCACCAAAATGGAAGACTAGTTGATTAATTTGAGATCAATCTGGTGGTGTCTTCCATGCAACATGTACAAAATACATACATGAATGACCCCTAATTGTTTCGATTGAGATGTTATAATGATCGTATAAAACCGATCCGATACTTTGAGAAAGTTTGCTTTTCTTTGGCCATAGAGAATTTCAGAAGTCAAAGATACACATAATGATGGGAAAAAGCTTCCATAGATCTTCTCTCGTGGCCAGGCTGCGTGCACGGTATTTGGGGGCGAAAATTTGTGATTGTGTATAATGTTACGTCAAGCGTAGGCTCCACTGACCTCCATATTTGTAAAGAAACATTTTATGTACTGCTAGCTCATATTTATTAATTTTCTGACTAGACTTATCTCTCTCAGTTATACAGAGTTTGGAATATGAATAATAGATGGTATAAGCATAACTACATTTTTAGTTAATTGTTAGTCTTTTGAGTATACTAAAAGATGTGCACGGGTCAACATCGTCTACCATTGACGACTGTACTAATTGCTGGCCAGTTGAGAAACAGCAACAAATTTAAAAACCAAACCATGCCGTTCTTCTTAATCTTTTTTTTTTCCTTCCCTGAGGCCTGAATCTTCCTTCTTAATTTATCCATTGGTCTGTGAGTGGTCAGATTAAGAATTAAACATCAATTATAATCAAAATTGAGAAAGACACATAAAATCATTGATTGATTATACGCAATTGAAGGGGCTAATATAAGCCATTTACTACACTCGCCTCAAATATAAGCAAAAATTATTAAAAAAAATTGTATTGAAAATAAGCAAAATTCTTCCATTTTGATATGCAATTAGTAATTATTTTCATAAATTTTTTAGGGAAAAATTCAATATCATACATATAACTATTGAATCTTGAGAAATGGTTAAATATTTGCTGATATTTGAGACCGAAGAGATATTCCTGAACTCTAGTAATGCTTATGGTGACTAATTGTTAATTATTGCATCTCCTAAAGGTCTGGCTTGCCCTCTAATTATTAGCAGAAATTATTCATGAATTGTTAATAATTTTTAACAAATTAAAGACTTGCCTATAGTCCTTGGATTGGATCCACTTGACCACAATGATAATTAATTCCACCGCACATCAAATGAGATGAAAAATTTTGACGAATTAATTTTAAGCTTAACGCATGTTAAAGAAGAAAAAAAAAGAATTGCCTCAGCCAAAAAGAAAAATATAATGTGTATAATAAGTAATCTCAAAATCCAACACGCACGACATGAATACCCTTTAATGTGTCTCAAAATTCACCGCTAAAGCAAAATTGGACATTCCTGGCTGTTCCTGGTTCTAGGATCACCTTTTAACATGATTTTGCCTTTACTCAAGAAAAGCAAGGGCCTGTCTAGTTTTTATTTTTAAAAAACTGTTTTGTGATATAGTTTTTAAAATTATTTTTCAAAATAAAATAAAATAAAAATTTGTTTGGTGCAATTATGTCAATTAAAAAACAGTTTTAAAATTAATAAATTAATAGTAATGATTATAAGCAATTAATTGTGATGATTAATAATAAAAATTAATCAAAATAACTATATTTTTAATAATCAAATGTAGTGTATTTTAATAATAAAAAATAAAAAGAAAACAACAGCTTGAAGCTGTTTCTATTTTTTGTTTTTAAAAATAAAAATAAAAATAGTTTTGAAAATAATTAAATGAAAAACACTTATCCAAACAGGTTTTAAAATTTTTCTATTTTCAAAAACAAAAAATATTTTTTAAAAATAGAAAACAAATAGGCCCTAATTAGCTTATACTCTTTATTCTTTATAATTTTCAATCATTAAATGTTCCCTCTTTTCTGAAGTAGCTCAAATAAAATCAAACTGCATCATGTTTATACCAAGACATTTTTTTATTATTGTGGCCAAACTCCTTTTTTTTTGGTTAATAATGACAAACTATATATGTGAAAGAAATTTATATATGAAATTGCAAGGGTAATTGGCTGGGTCAACCTATCCACAACTAAAAGATCAGTCAGGTCTTTTTTTTTTAATTATATTTTCAGATCAATTAACGTGTATAACAGTAGAAGTATAGGTTTGATATTGACTTCTTAATTAATATAAAACTGATCTAAAGCATTAGGTTGATGAACGATGCGTATTTTTCACTTGTATATCTTTTAACTACATATAGGCTTTACCAAATGTAGAAAAAAACAACACTCTTCATATACATTTGATCCTCCATATATAATCTCTTCCTAATTAATTTGACTTGCTCACAAAAACGTACTTCAAATTATTACATCAGGACCTAATACGCTTTTGGCTTTTTATTTTTTTCCAATAAAGTTTGTTTGAAGCCTGAAATGGAACTAGTTCTAAGCTCGGCAGGAATTTGTGTGCGCCCTGCTATTTGAAGTTTGAAAATAAAACTGGCCCTCATTGCATGCGAATTGGGATTCGGTGTTTGTGGGCCGTCCTATATGGAGAGCTAATGAACTTACATTTGAAAAGGAAATTGTTGAGTTGTCTTAGTGTGGGTAGGCTTAAGATGACTTAGGAAGTCACATACTAGATAAAAATATGCTTAATAAATAATGTAAATGATTCGATTATACATATCAACATGCAGTAATTACTTGAAGTCCGATCCGTGGAAAACTGGCTGCTATTAGTGCAAGCAATTGCATACATTGATAGGATTGATTGGGTGCTAAAGAAGTGCATTGTGAACTTCCTTGACCCAAGTATAAATTAGGCAAGTCAAGGTACATAATCAAATTTTGAAGACACATATATAAATATTGAGCACTACAAGCTTTAAGCTTTGTGACAATGAATTAATGGGTAGGTGAGGAGGCTACTAGCTAGCTAGTTCATTAATTTTAGCTGAAACCTGGAGACGTGCTGAACACCTGCAGAAATATAATATTGTAGTATATCCCAACAGGATTACTAAACGCGCACAAACATTCCAGGCATGTGTTCATGAATATATATATTTCAGTGTCACGGTGTGTGTACCACTATATGCTTTGCAATTTTCATGCGTTTTGTTTGCCTTTCTCGATAAAGTTAAATCTCGTTAAAAACACACATACATATACACATTAACTGTGCGAATTTCAAATATTAAACCAGTGTTATTCAGTTTGGTCGTAGAAATAATAATTGATGCCTTGAAACAGATTATAATTCTTCTATAGTATAAAGTTGAAGGCAGTTTTACTCAGCAATTAATTATTAGTTGATTATTGTGGAAATGTACGAAAGAACGTATAGGAATGACGAAGTACACGTATAAAAGGACCAAGTGGCTGGAGAAAGCGGAGAATCTGAGCACTGGTGGGAAGACTTTTATAAGTTGACTGACGTTTCGGGGGCAAGATTATTTCCATGGTCGGTTTGTTTGATGTCTGGCTTCATCCTCGTTTTTCCTTAGATTTTATCATCAAGTCCAATTCCGTTCATGGTTTCTTACTTCCCAAAAACTTAACTTCTCCTTGTAATCTAATTTACCTGCGTCGATCAGTTGACATTTTACGTGATAGATAACATTATTGCAATTCAACATGGGCAAGCCTCGTAGTTTAATTTGTCTGTGTTTAAGGAAAAAGGAATGATCTCTCCATTCCAATATTATGAATTTTTAATATTTTTATTCAGCAGTTTTCATTTTATCTTACCGGCCATCTTCATACTATCAGAAAAACTTCTGCCTTTTTTTTAAAACTTTAAATAATTAATACTCTTTAATTTTTTTTCTATTTCGTTGATTTATATGTCTTGATACTTTTTAAACAGTGAAATGCAAAAATGTGAATATATATTTTTATATGTTTTAATTTCTATAGAATGGAGAAAGCGTAAATGTAGGCACCTCTTTTTCTATATAAATAATTAAAATTGTTCAGTTGAATCTTTATTATGAAAAGTGTCTACATTTAATATGTAATCATATCTTGAACAAAATTTCTTCTACGAGGAGAATACTTATAAAAAAAAGAAAGAAGAAACTCAGTAAGATCATGTTTGAGTTTTTCAAAGAGATTATACAGAGTACACATACAAACATTCGCTTGTTTCAACCATGGAATGGAAACAGACCAACACGTTGTCTTCTTCTTCTTCTCGTTTTTATTTTTTTTTTAG